GCAACATTCTTTTTGCAAAAATTCTTTAGAGGCGCCAAAGAAGTCACTAGACCCCACATACGGTCTCGTCCGTGCCTTGCGGCCGGCGAGATTGCTAGAGGTGGAGCATGCTGCTCTAGCCTCACATGTCACTTCCTGTCGTCTGTTGTTTGTTGTGCTCTTGTTTGTTTCTCTTGGCACCTTGGAGTGCTGGGGGGGGCGACAGGGAGGATATGGCCTTGAGTTATGTGTACGCCAACTCAGGGTGTGTGGCAGCCAGCTGGCTGTGTGTCTTGTGAGCCTTTTGTGTCTGTGTGTCGCTCGTGCGTGTCGTCATCATCTGTCCAGCGTCCACCCATACCGCGTTGGTGTCCAGTCCGAGCCTGGCTGTTCTTCACCTTTCTACCTACCTACCTCAATAATACAAGCCCAATGGTGCCTAAACAATGGCAGCGATCTAGAATCGGCTCACGCGCCTCTACTCGCATACGCTCACCCATAGAATTGTCACCGCCAGTGAGTGCGAGATAGGGCTAGCGGCTGGCGGCTAGCCTCTGAGGAGAGTGACCAGAGACACCTCACACGACCCCACACACGGTCTAGTCCGGCCTCGCGGTCGGCGGAGATTGCTAGAGGACGAGCAAGCCTGCTCTAGCCTCACGCGTTCGCCCCTCGCCTGTCGTCTGTTGTGTTGGTTGTTGTGCCCTTGTTTGTTCCTTCGGCACCTTGGCTGGGGGAGGCGACAGGGGGGGGGCGCGGCCTTGAGTTATGTGTACGCCAACTCAGGGTGTGTGGCAGCCAGCTGGCTGTGTGTCTTGTGAGCTTGTTTGTGTCTGTGTGTTGCTCGTGCGTGTCGTCATCATCTGTCCCGCGTCCACCCATACCGCGTTGGTGTCCAGTCCGAGCCTGACTGTTGTTCATCTTTCTACATACATACAGTGGCTCGAGCGAAGGTCGAGTCATAGGTGCAGCGCGATCAACGCTGAGCTGCTGATGGAATGATTAATTATTAATAGTCTGTATTCCAGATTTCCGTTCAGTTTTGGCGCGATTTGGGATTTTGGGCTAGGATCCCTAGGGATCCCACACTTAATCTCTATATAAGGGATCCCTATCCTCTCTCCTCGCCGACAGCAGCTATGCACACTTCGCAGGTTCGTGCAGTGATGTCGCTGGCGCTCGCCGTCGGCGTACACGCGACGTGCAATCCGTTTTGTGGGGACAAGACGCAGGGCTGGGATAAAAAGTGCGACTGGGGTGGCTGCTACAGCTGCACCGAGTGCTCCGCCCCTGCGCCGGTGTGCAACCCGTTTTGTGAGGACAAGACGCAGGCCTGGGATGCCAAGTGCACCTGGGAGGGCTGCAACGGCTGCACCGACTGCTCTTCCCCTGCGCCGGTGTGCAAGCCGTTTTGTGAGGACAAGACGCAGGCCTGGGATGCCAAGTGCACCTGGGAGGGCTGCAACGGCTGCACCGAGTGCTCTTCCCCTGCGCCGGTGTGCAAGCCGTTTTGTGAGGACAAGACGCAGGCCTGGGATGACAAGTGCACCTGGGGGGGCTGCAACGGCTGCACCGACTGCTTCGTCCCTCCGCCGTCGCCGCCCTTCGGGCCCAAATCTTGTACCCTCGTCTACACGGGGTCCGACTTTTGCGGCGACGATGAGGTTCTTGCCGGCTTCACCGACTCGCTTGTCAGTCGCAGTCTTGGCGGAAACATTGACGACTGCGAAGCCTTGTGCCTCGCGACCGCCGAGTGCCTGTTCATTTCGTTTTGGCCTAGCGGCTGGTGCAAGCTCACCGCCACTTGCCTCGACAAGCAGAAGGACGCTGGAGGCATCACCCTCAAGACCTGCGGGCCGCCGCCGCCCAGCCCTCCGCCGCCATCACCACCACCACCCTCGCCGCCGCCGCCCTCGCCGCCGCCTCCGAGCCCTCCGCCTCCAAGTCCGCCTCCGCCCTCCCCGCCGCCGCCCAGCCCGCCGCCACCGCCGCCGCCGCCCCCAAGCCCGCCACCCCCGTCGCCTCCGCTCTCCTCACCCCCGGCTCCCAGAGCGTCGGCTCGCGAGGTGGGGTGCTAGTATGGGCCCGATACGTCGCAGTGTTCTTGCTCCCAGCGCTTGCGCTTCGGCGGTTAGTGGTGCACTAACCTCCGAGAAATCCTTCGGGTCGCTCCTCATCGCAAACCCTGTCAGCAGAGTCTCCTACGGGAATGTACGTAAGAGCCACATACACTGAAAAATCCCTGGAGCCTGGTGGCGGCGTGCCGTCCTCCCATCCCTCCCTTTGTCTCTTTTCTTTCTTCTTTTTTAGATCTACATTAGCGATTTATTTAGATCTACATTAGCGTCTCTCTCTCTCTCTCTCTCTCTAGCGTTTCGCCTTCCCCAAAGAGAAGCAAAAAGAAAAACCTACCCAGCGGCGGTCGACCATGACGAGACCATTCCTTCATCCGGCGGCGAAGAAGGATAGAGCTCGAGTAGCCGATCAACGAAATGGGCAGTTCCTCGCTGATGTCCTCGACTCCCGCGCAGTACTCCCGCCACGCGCTCTTAGCGATCATCGTCGGCTTCGGCATCAGCGCGATCGCCCAGGCACCCTTCTTCTCGCTGCAGGCATGGGTCGGCAAGCGCTCGAACTGGGGCTTCCACTTTGACAACGGAATGGAAGCAGACGCGGGCTGGCAGAACGAGATTGCGATTTGGAACGTGGCCACCATCGCCATGTTCATTTGCGCGCTCCGCGCCTTCGATGATGTTGGGTTC